TGCTTTGAGTGCTTTGTCTTGGCCAGATTTTATGGATTCCTTGTAGCTGAATTCTGGAAAATACTCAGCCATTATCTTTTCAAATATTTTAAACTTTTTTTCATTAGACATGTGTTAGATCTCCTCCTATTCCCGTCTCTCACCTATGTTAGTTTTCTCCCATAACAGGTTACCACAGACTTAGCTGTTTTAGCCCAGTTATCATCATCATCTCAGTTCTCTGTGGCAGGAATCTGGGTGCGGCACAGCCCTCTGGGCCCTCTGCTTAGTCCCACAAGGCCAGAATCTGTCAGTGGTACTGTGTGTGTTCCCTCTGTAGGCTCTGGGGATGAGTTTGCTTTCAGGCTCATTCAGGTAGTTGGCTGAATTCAGTTCCTTGAAGCTGTAGGCCTGAGATCCTCATTCCCTCTCATGTTTTCCATGTCTGCCTCCAGCAACCACAGTTCAAGCACTCTGCACTTCCAGTCTTTCACATCCTTCTGCCATGTCCCTCCTTCCTCCAACTGGAGAGGGTTCTGTGCTCCTATGATTAGTATGGATCATCCCTGGAGATCCAGGGTACTCCTCCTTCCTTAAAGTCCATAGCCATAGCCACACCTGTAGCTTCTCTCTGGCATGTGAGGTAGCACACATGGGCTCTGAGGAGGGGGCTGGATGTGAGCCACTGAGGCTGGTCTACTTTGCATACCCGTGTCCTTGGCTCTGTCTGTATCCTGAGCACTTTCTGTAGGTAGCTTGACATCAGTGTGTCTAACCCAAGTTTTTATTTTCAAAAAAAAGTATTACTTTTATTTTTTAAAAATTATTATTTTTAACTATCATTTTTAACAGTTCAGTTTGGTGGTAACTGGTAATTGTATTGTCTTAACTGAATTTTTTTCCATCTCATTTCTTTACACATTTCATGTATTTTATGTTCTACATCTTTTAATTCTAGTATCTAAAGGTCTTAGGAGTGTCTAAACCTCTGAAACATTTCCTTGTGTACTGAGCTCTGAATGTGCATTGTATTCTTTTTTGAGACAGTCTCAAGCTATCACCCTGGGTAGACTGCCATGGTGTCACAGCTCAGAGGAACCTCAAACTCTTGGGCTTAAGTGATTCTCTTGCCTCAGCCTCCCAAATAGTTGGGACTGTAGGTGCTGGCCCAGGCTGGATTAGAACCTGCCAGCCTCGGTGTATGTGGCTGACACTCTACCCACTGAGTTACAGGTGCCGCCCATGAATCGTATTCTTTCCTCCCAAGTTCTGTCTGCGTTTGCTTCTCCTCCTCCCCAGGGACTGACGCCCACCTGGGGTCACACTGGCCCTATATGAGGGTCCTATCTAGAGTCTCCAAGTAGAGCCCAGCAGGCTGCTGCCATCTGCTCCTGGGAAAGCCCTGCTGTGCACACTCCTGCATGAGCTGAACCAGCAGTGTTACATGTCTTTACTCATGTTTGTTTTCTGTCCAGGGCTGTTACAGAGGGTCTGTCAAAGCATCCTATCCACAATATTGCCAGACTTGAGTCTAAGACCTGTATTACATTAGTTTACTGGTGTTTCTCTGCCAACTATGTTGTCATCATCTTTTCTCAGCTTTTAGCAGGCAGTGGGTTTTCAGTTGCTGACTGTTGAATGAGCAGGCCTGTAAGTTGTACGTGTGAGAGGATCTACACTCAGCAGCATGAAATCAACACAAGAAAAGTGTTTAAGTTCAAAATATATTCATTGTTCTAAGAGTTGCACTAAAGAGACACAATGTGTGTCATTATCATCAGCTGTAGTTTTCTGAGAAAATATGAACATCTTGACACATTAAAACATGGAGAATAAGGCGGTGCCTGTGGCTCAATGGGTAGGGCGCTGGCCCCATATACCAAGGGTGGTGGGTTCAAACCCAGCCCCGGCCAAACTGCAAACTTGGGAGGCTGAGGCAAGAGAATCACCTAAGCCCAGGAGTTAGAGGTTGCCGTGAGCTATGTGATGCCACAGCACTCTACCAAGGGCAATCAAATGTCTCTACAAAAAAAAAAAACCCCACAGAGAATAGATGTACAGGTGTTACTAGTAAAATGTGATTTCATTGTTGTAGCCTTTGAAGAAGATGGTGGAGAGAATCCGCAAGTTCCAGATCCTCAATGACGAGATCATCGCCATCCTGGACAAGTACCTGAAGTCGGGCGACGGGGAGAGCACACCCGTGGAGCACGTGCGCTGCTTCCAGCCTCCCATCCACCAGTCTCTGGCCAGCAGCTGAGGACACCTGCCCTGGCCCAGAGCAGTCAGGAACTCTAACACCATGGTTTTTGTTCTGTGAACTATGTAGTGAGATTTTTAGGGCTATTTTCAGTATTTCTGTACCTGTTAAAGAAGGTGCATCTCGATTTAAAAGCTGAATTTTATAAAACTGACTTATTTTTCTAGATTAAACCTGTACATGCGACTGGTAACTAAGAAGTCTGAGGGTACTGGCTGCTGTTGCCATTGTCCTTACAAAATTATTCTCAACTTTTCTATATGGAATGTTCTGGAAGCTGTGACCTAACATGCTACTGAGGGCATTCATTCATCCCTTCTTATAAAAATGCCAGCCAATGTATTAAAATCCTTTCCCAGTTACCATTAATGATTAACTCTAGCTTTTGTTTAGGGATTTTTTGATGGTCTTTTATGAATAATCTTTTATAAATCATCATTCCTATCCCTTTTTTGTGTGTTTCAGAAAATAGTGAATTTAACAGTTTCTATTAAATCCAATTGTGACAAACTCAAATTTGTGAGGTATCATTTAAATGTCATAGAAATAAAACTAATGAAACCTATTTTGTGTTCATTCCTTTACTACGACCCTGTGCGGCTTGGCTTGGGCAAGGTACTTGCATTATCTGAGCACATAGGCTGGGCCCAGCTCCAGAGTCCAGAGTGCCTCCAGGATGACTGAGGACAGGATCGTGACACCACTCAGCACCCACTTTTCTTATCAACACATGGTTAGCTTGCTACTTAGGTTTCCACAGGCAACTGAGATGTAAAACAGGGCTGGCCACTCTGCTCTGGATGCACAGAACACCTGTGTTGCATGTGCCCTGGAGAGACTGGCAGGTAAAGAGGACAGTGGGTACCACACAAAAGGGACAGAGGGGAATTTTAGGTGCATCCCTAATTGCCCTGAGCTGGCCTTCCTGACTAGTGTGTGAATTGTCTCATGTGATTGGAGTCAGGGGTTTACATGATCAAAATGAAAGTCCACTCCTGGAGTCATAGATATGGGTAAGAACTGAGAAACTACAGCCAAATTTTCAAGTATTAAGGCAACGAGTTTCTGAAAATCCTAACTGAATTGGAAAAAGTGTGTGCCTATCTGTTTTAAGTAAATAACACAGATTAAATACAAGACTAATATTAACTGAACTTACTTCACATCTTTACCTGATAGTTGTCTTACATTACTGAGTGTTGCAATCTTCAGCAGTGTTAAGTTTCTGTGCTGCCACACTGCTTCCATTTGCCTTTGGAAATGCAACACCAAAGTCCAGGAGCATGGGCCCTGGCACAGAAAGAACAAACAGGAGCTACTCTGCCGTGCTGCCAGCCCAGAGTGGAATGAAGCAGAGCAGAACTTGACAAATGTTTATTTATTTATTTTTTTTTGAGACGGAGCCTCAAGCTATCCCCCTGGGTAGAGTGCCATGGCATCACAGCTCATAGCAACCTCCAACTCCTGGGCTCAAGCGAGTCTCCTGCCTCAGCCTCCCAAGTAGCTGGGACCACAGGCGCCCACCACAACGCCCGGCCATTTTTTAGTTCCAGCCATCATTGTCGTTTGACGGGCCCGGGCTGGGGATTCGAACCCGCCACCTTAGGTGTATGTGGCTGGCGCCTTAGCTGCTTGAGCCACAGGCGCCGAGCCGACAAATGTTTATTTTTTGAAACAGAGTCTCGCTATGTCATCCTTGGTAGAGTGTCGTGGCATCACAGTTCATAGCAACATCCAACTGCTGAACTTAAGCGATTGTCTTGCCTCAGCCTCCCAAGTAGCTGGGACTTTATCCCGGCTTTTTTCTCGCAGTTGTCACTGTTTTATACAGTCCTGGTGTGTATGGCCAGTGCCCTACCCACTGAGCTGCAGGCACCGCCTACAAACTCTTGTTTATAAATTACCTAAAGATGTTGCTTTTTCAGCTTGGCACCCATAGCACAGTGGTTACAGCGCCAGCCACATACACCAAGGCTGGCAGGTTTGAACCCGACCCAGGCCTGCTAAATAATGAAAACTGCAACAAAAAAACAGCCGGGTGTTGTGGCAGGCACTTGAAGTTCCAGCTACTTGGGAGCCTGAGGCAAGAGAATTATATAAGCCCAAGAGTTGGAGGTTGCTATGAGCTGTAACACCACAGCACTCTACAGCACTTACTGAGACAGTAAGACTGTCTCAAAAAAAAAAAAACAAAAACCCAAAGATGTTGCTTTTGATAATGTGAAATTAGCTACAGATTAAGGGGTGATATCTATGCTCATCCTATGAAGTACATCAAATTACTGTAATTAAGCTGGGTGTGGTGGCTCATGCCTGTGATCCCAGCACTCTAGGAGGCTGAGACAGACGGATTGCTTGAGCTCAAGAGTTTGTGACCAGCTTGAACAAGAACAAGACCCTGTCTCTTAAAAAAAAAAAAAATAGCCAAGTGTTATGGCGGACCCCAACTACTAGGAGGCTAAGGCAAGAAGACTGCTTAAACCCAAGAGTTTGAGGTTGCTATGAGCTGCAACAACACATCACTCTACCAAGGGCAACAAAGTGAAACTGTCTCAAAAGAAAAGCAAAGAAAAATTACTGTAATGTTTAGTTTTTAATTTATAAAGGCTTAATTTTTTATAAGGCTTAATTATATGCCAAATTTCATACTTATGTACAAGACAATTTCAAGTGCTATAAAACAAATGAAAAATTTATTAAACTATGTATCTTAATGAGGGCCCTACCACCCCCCAAGGGGGTGAAAATTGATTCTTTGTACACAAAGCGCAGATACAGTACATAAGTAGATATACATTATATCTGTGGTATTAAAAGTAAATGGGGGTTGGCTGGGCACTGGCTCACACTTGTAACCTAGCACTTTGGATCACTTAAGGCTAAGAGTTCAAGACCAGCCAGGGTAACATAGCAAAACCTGTCTCTACCAATAAAAAAAAAAAAAAAATTCATGTGTTAGAGGGCAGGACAAAACATCTAAAACTGCTCCTGGGTCAGAAGAAAACAAAGTTGGGAAAATGACATTTATGTGCAGCCAGGGGAGAGCTCTGTGGGATGTCAGCACCACAGCAGGGAGCCCTGACATAGCCAAGGGGTGCGGCTCAGCCCTCCCTGTGTAACCAGGCAGGACCAGCAGATAAGAGCCCAAGCTCTTCCACCACCTAGGTGGAAATACTATCAATACTTTTTTTTTTTTTTGCAGTTTTTGGCCTGGGCTGAGTTTCAACCTGCCACCTTTAGTATGTGGGGCCACTGCCCTACTCCTTGAGCCACAGGTGCCGCCCCTCTATCAGTACTTTTTAAAAAGAGCTAATCAATGAATGGCTAGAGTTGGAGAGGTTTAAAGCTGGATGGAGTTCATCATAACTCTTTTATTCTACCTCTTTTGCTTATGTTGTCTGAAATTTTCCATAAACATTTTTTCTAATGGTCCAAACAAACTCTTAAGCAAAGTAAAATAGTACAAAGAGCCCATTCTACAAACATGTTAAGTTTGTTCTAAGCATTCAGACTTGGGAAAGAATATTGCTTCAACTTGTCTTTTTATTGTAACATGAGCTAAATTTAGTAACTTGTCTTCTGATTTTACTTCCCCAAGTTAAGTCTAAATGACAATATACCTCCTTATGAAAATATAGTGAAAAATCCAAGAGCTAATGTCAAATATCGATCAGAGTTCCCAGCACCATGTGGTTATGATGATGGACCTGAATGCACACAGGAAGCCATACTTAGGCTGACAAGTCACAGCCTGAGAAATACTTCCTTGGAGCGACTTCCTACCTTTTTTTGTTTTGTAAGAGTTTCCTTCATCCAGTAACTTAGTTTTCCCTTAAATTAACTTTTCAAAATTAAAATAATTCATCAAACAGGAGTCAGTTTTATAAAGTAAATCACAGGATAATGTATTGGGATGATTCTGTTCTTTCCTAAAAAAAACAAAAACTACATGGTCAGGGATTAGTGCAGCAGAGAGGACAAACGTACATTTCAGACTTTCATCACCAATGAAAAAATAAAGCATTTTTTATAGACATTGAGACTGCCATAGTGCATTTACATCTTGGAGAAAGAATCAAAATGCACGACACCTCTAAACAATACAATGTCAGTAGACACTGGTCATGTACTGAGGCCATTTCAGTGGGCCACCATCATTTAAAATAGAAGAAAAGTAATTTCTTGGTCCAATTAGTTAAACCCTAAAAGATTGTCTTTAAAGAACATTATTTAAGGACAATGTGTTTTCAGACACATTCTGATATTTAAATTCACTTTATAACAGAATGATACATTAACCTTTTAATTACATCTTTCTTAAAAAGATGCCAGATTTCCATTTCTTCGGGAGATGTTTTCACCATTGTGTTCGATTCCACAGGTTAAGCTTTCTTCATCATTAAGAACTTCATACATATTAGACAGACTGCCGTTCACAGCTTTTTCGTCTTTTCGAAAAGACACAGGTAGACTTGCTAGACTGAAGCTGACGTCTTTAAAGGCATGCAGCAAGAATATCCCCACAATGATCGTAAAGAAGCCACTCAGAGTGCCAATGACATCGTCGGCAGGCATATCTTGCCACTCCTTAAAAAGGATAGCTGAACAAGTTAAAACTGATGTTGTGAAGAATACATAATATATAGGCGTCACAATGGACGTGTTGAATATGTCCAGCGCCTTGTTCAGGTAATTGATTTGGGTGCTCACACAGACGACAAGGCTGAGCAGCAGAACCCAGGCCAGGGGACGGCGCAGCACAGGCTTCCCAGCAAATACCTCCTTGATAGTGATGCCCAGGCCCTTCACACAGGACACAGAAAATGCTCCGATTACAGAGCAAATTGTTATGTACACAAGGATGTTTGTCTGTCCATGCTGAGGACCCACCACAAAAATTAGTATCAAGGCCACAATGACCACAAGTGTCGCAAAGACAACAAAACCTGGGGGAGGCAAAGATATATTTAGTCAACTATCCAGTCAGATGTTCTTAAACACAGCAAATCCAAACCAAAACAAAATATAGTAAACCTATTGGAAGGAGAAAAGGCATGCGCTGAAGATAAAAATCTGCTTTATTGGATTGGCCTGTAGCTGAAGTAGCTAAGGCATCAGCACATATACTAGAGCTGGTGGATTCAAATCCAGCTCAGGCCTGCCTAACTGCAATGACAAGTACAACCAAAAAATGGCTGGGCAGTGTGGCGGGCGGCTGTAGTCCCAGCTACTTGGGAGGCTAAGGCAAGAGAATTGCCTAAGTCCAGGAGTTGGAGGTTGCTGTGAGCTGTGATGCCACAGCACTCTACCCAGGGTGACAGCTTGAGGGTGTCTCAAAAAAAAAACCTGCTTTATTTTGCTGCCCCAGCAAAAGTATCTCCATGAGAATTTAGATATGCAGACTAGAAGATTAAAATACACTTAGAATTTACAAATTGATATTCCACTGACATTTTAAAAGTAGCATCTGATGCCTACTTAGTGCTCTAACTCACAAGGCAAGGGGAGCAGGTTGAGACCAGAACAGGGACACAAAATGGAGGAAAAATCATGAGGTGGGTGTACGTGTTCAACAACTTATATATCCTGAAACAGAAGTGTTATTAATCAAGTGTGAGGCTGGGCATGGCTCATGTCTGTAATCCCAGCACTCTGGAACAAAGCAAGACCCGACCTCTACTAAAATCAGCTGGTCCTAGCTACCTGGGGGCTCAGGCAAGAGGATCACTTGAACCCAAGAATTTGAAGTTGCAGTGAGCTAGGTGCTCTAGCCTGGATGACAGAGTAAGATTCTGTTTCAAAAAAATAAATAAATAATTCAGTTTCACATAAAAGAGGTAAAATTTTTTTAATATTTAGGGACAAGTACTGGAGAAATAGCAGTCAATTAGAAAATCTGAAAAATCCCCTCAGCATTCTGTCTGAATATGGAGTTCAGCGTAACAAGTGGGCCCTGTGGGCAACGCACTTCTCATCTCAGCAATCTGCACTCAACTACCCTCAAACACAGATACCACCCCTTGCGTCTTTAAGATGAACAAACTCAGGTATGTAGAAGTAAAATCAGTGTACTCTATTCACGCCTCAAATTCCACTAATAAATAGTAACAGGCTTTTTTTTTTTTTTGAGATAGAATCTCAAGCTGTCACCCTGGGCGTCACTGATCACGGTAACTCCAATTCTTCGGTGCTAGCAATCCTTTTGCCTCAGTTTTTCCATTTTTAGTGGAGACAGGGTCTTGCTTTTTCCTCAGACGGGTCTCAAAACTCATGAGTTCAAACAATCCACCTGCCGCGGCCTCCCAGAGTGCTACAGGTGAACCAGTGGACCTGGCCAATAACTGGATTTTTTTTTTTTT